TATAATATTGGCTTCTCCTCTCTAGTTTAGATCAGAGTAATGCTGTCGTAAAATTTGACACTTGAATTTTTTTTAATGTCATTCTTAAAATTTACTTAAAATCCTATAACATCCTTAGACAGTTTAGAAAATATTATTTTGTTCATATGTTAAATTAATAAAACTATAATGAGTATAATAATCATGAGGTAGAATGCTTAATATTAGGGGCAATTTGGTGGCTTAATTTGTTTAATCAGAACTCACTTTGTAGAAAAAACAACTGATCATTTGACTTTGGGTTTTCACACATTTCTTGAAAACGATGATACGAGTCGTTGATCGAGGTACAGGTCATTTCTTGGGCCCGATAAAATTCAATAAATTAAGAGGATACAACGAAAAACGATGCACCCTTCCATCCCCCAATAATAGTAGCAGTAGCTAGTCTTCACCGGTAATGGTGGAGGGTCTAATGGTGAACTATGTATGATACTCACCCCTATAATTAATTGATCCACATCTAATCAATTTTTTAATCATAAATTACATGCAAGTGGGATATATTACATGAAATCTCACTTGCACAAAATCAATAAATTTAAAGCTATAAACCTAACAAATCGGATCAGATTAAATTTATATGCTAAATATCATTTTTCATTGTTTTACTTTACAAATCCACGCACATGGAACTCCACTGATTTGTTGGTTGAGTTGACATTTTCTTTATAACTAGCCAAAATGGTTGAGTTGACATTTTCTTTATAACTAGCCAAAATGATAAGCAACTATTAGTTAAAAAAGGAGTAGTAGTAATTGGTGTTGACAGATCGTTTTTGTATGATGTCCATCGATACAACAAAACGAACAAGATTACTATTTACGACAAAATATATCCATTTTTTATGTTTTTTTTTTTTTTTGGAAAGGTTATCCCTTTTCTATGTTCTCAAAGCCTTGGCCTTAAAGACTTATCAGGCCAAGCAACTCTATCTGAGCTGATCACCTGATGAGTGGTTTGGTCCAACCTCCATGAAGTACGAGAGGTGCGAACATATGTCTCCCGAGTCACAAGTCACGACTTTAGTCAGTTGAGCTTGTGTCCGCACTTATTGGCAGCCTAATTGAGGCGCAGGCCTCAAATTTCTCATCCATTGTTTTCGGATTAAGAAATTCTGACATGAATGCGATACGCTTATTATGTTATTATACAATTAACATAATATGGGTAATTTATTTAATAAATGAGTTGAAATTTAATATGAAATAACAACACATGTTTATGTCATTTTTGACACAAACATGACGCGCCTATCTATCAGACTTGGTTAAATGAATCATTTTTAATATAAACACAACATTTTTATCAGACATGTTTGGATTATAAATAAGTTGTTGAGTCAAACATGAATACGATACGTTTAATTATCGTGTCAAAATGAGTAGACATAATTACGACACAAGTATGATTAAATCAAACATAAACATTAAATCAAACATAAACCCACTTATTTTGTACGTATTCAAATTATGGTGGCGTATTGTGCCAAATTTTGACACTCCTAAATGTAAGGAATTAGTCAAACCCTTCTTATATTCAGTTTAGGACAGTATTAAATAATTAAAATAATTGGTACTTGTAAACATAATATTGAAGCATATATTATATTATATTTCAATACATAACACCGTAATCTTACATGTATATGTTGTCACCCATTTTGGTAATTACATAGGCATTAACGGGCAGTAAGTATTGGTTTGAAATGAAACATTCTCGGCAGAATTACTGGGTAGTGACGTGGCTATAATTTGGGCTGAAATGGGTTTATGTTGTTTACGTGGATTAAAATACTTGCAAAGGTTGGAGAAGCCTTTGAATTGACTAGTGGAGAAGGATCAAAAGCTAGTATTTATCTTTTAGATAAGTTTAGTTATATAATTTTAATATATATCGATTAGTTTGTGTTAGTTAAATGGTGATAGTTATCTCTAGGATTTGTTTATTTTGAATTTATAGTTGTTTGATATAAGAGTTGTAATGCAAGAAAAATACTTGCGTGTAGGATTTAGTTACGAATTATTCTATAAATAAATAAAGTGGCATGCTGTACTAGGGTCCAGCACCCTCAGAATCCTTTAATTTATTTGTTTGCTTTCTCAAGCACTTTCCCCAAATAGCATCCTTGCTATCTATATCTTTCCCCCATCTCTATTTCAGTCTTGTTCTATTTCCCTTCCTATATCTCTATCTCTCTATCTCTTCTCCCTATCACTTTCTATATCTAAATTTTCTCCCCTTTCTATTCTCTCAATTATTACTATATATTACTCACTGATAAAGTCCTTTTAATTAAGGCAATTAGAACTCAAAGATGAATTATATTTGTTCTCTTTCTCCTCGCATCACCTGATAGTCAATATTCTCAAAGAGACTACAGTTGACAATTCATACTTGAACCATATAATTGGTTCTGGTACACCCGCACGACATCAATTTAGAATCGGATCTTAGGAGCCGATTTTTAGGGTTAACATTTTTGGCACAACCGGTGGGACCCCATCAGGTGAGCAAGTTATAATAAAGATGCCTCCAAAGCTAAGAGGTTTGAAAAGCGTGAATACAGGAGATAATACTGACAAAGAAAATCCACAGATCGGCGTAGGCGATGATGCCGATTTATCTATTCCATCCAACGTCCCTTTGAGTCGGGTACTAGAATCAATTATGCAAAAAATCGATGCCCAGCAAGCACAGATCGGCGAGGTAAGGTCTCAAATGGGAGAATCAAATCAACTTTTGGTTGCTCAAATGCATGAAATGAGGTCGATGACAGGGGAGTTAAACCAAATGATATACCGGTGAATCAAAGCCGACAAGATCAGGCTGAAGCATCTTACGTCAATGAGTCCATATTTCAGCGTTTGACGACACCATTGGTTCATATATCCTAAGGACCTCGAACAAGCACCGTACTGCCAAATGCAGGACTTGGGTGTTACGATCAACAATGTGCCGAATCATACACTTGGCATACCAATGGGAAATCCGCCAATTTTATCAAATCCGTTGGTGGTGAATCCTGTGCCGGTGTTCCAGCTATTAATGAATGATTAGCCTGTGCAGCGTTCCAATGAGCAGCCGATTCCACCAGTGAGAAATCAGCAAGAAAGTATCGGCCATCTAAACCAAGGTAGGCTCAATCCATTGATACCTCCAACAACTGCTGGGGTGCAAGTGAATGCCGATCCATAAAGGGAGTGGGTTAATCTATTCATTCTGCGGCACCCAAATGATCCTCCAAGAATAAATGCAGGGATCGATAGGGCTCAGATTTTGGCTTTAATACAGGCCGAAGTGGCACAGGGTCGCAAATGTGCTCGGCCAGTATACAGAAAGCCCTATCCTGATCATGTCGATGCCCATGAGTTGCTTAGAAATTATCGGTATCCTGATTTTTCTATATACAGTGGTGAAGAGAATTTTTCTACAGCGCAACATATTGCGAGGTTCACAGCACAATGTGGTGAAGCAGGCCTAATTCCTTGGTTGAGGATGAGATTATTCTCTAGTTCTCTTACCGAGGCGGCGTTTGAATGGTATAGAAACTTACCAGCTAACTCTATTCAGACTTGGGATGAAATGGAGGAAGCCTTCCATACCCAATTCTACCGAACAGAGATAGAGGCTACGCTGGCAGACATATCCCGTTTATCTCAGTTGCTGAGTGAATCGGTTGAAACTTTCGTGGCTAGGTTTAGAAAAGCTAAACTCAAATGTCGAGTAAGTTTGCCAGAACCAGAATGCATCAAGTTGGCATTGAACGGTTTAGACATTGAACACCGCAAGAGGTTTGATGGGGTCGAGTTTCAAGATCTCTTCAATTTGGCAGACAGAGCTTCTTGGTATGAGGAAATACTAAAAGAAAAGAAAGAAATGAAGAATTCTTCTAAGGGTACTTGGTACAAGGACCCTAATTATGAGGTATTCTCGGCAGAAGTTAGAGATGAACTAGAAGTTGACGTTGTAGAGGTCAATATAAAAAAAACCATACATTTGTGAGGCGTTGGTTAAACCTAAGCCAACCGCGGGGGGCAATGCAACATCAACGACCACATCGGCACCGACAGCAAGGAAAAGTCCTGCCGATACTGGGAGAAGTTATTCTTTCGACTTGTCGAAAACAGATCAAATCTTTCATCACTTGATGACCGATAAAATGATATCTTTGCCTAAAGGGCATAAGATTCCATCGGCAAGTGACCTGAAAGGAAAAGAGTATTCTAAATATCATAACTCTTGGAACCATGCTACTAATGATTGTACTGTTCTACGAGATGTATTGCAGAAAGCTATTGATGAAGGTACTTTAAAATTCCCGGAGAAAACTTTGGAAACCATGAAGGTGGATACCAATCCATTCCCTACAATCGCATCTACTAATGTAATAAGCTTAGCCAAGCAAGAAAATCGTCATGAAGCTGAGAAGGTGTCAGGCAAGCAAAAACCTAAAGAAGAAGAGCCAATGGAGGTTCAACCAAAGAAAAAAAGAATTCTCGAGTGGCTTACCTTCCCAATTAAGCCTGGTGAAGAGTCTCGGCAGGATCATTCTAGCAACAGTCATGAAAAGGCAGAAAAGTAAAATCGGCTAGAATATATATCTAGCCGATTCCATTCCCAAAATCGGCATCCCTCAAAAATAAAAATTATGGAAGAGGTTTTCGCTACTGATGTTGCCGAGTTAGATGATGATGATTGGTGGATTCCTTACATCTTATTCTTACCACATCCAACTCCAGAAGCCGATCGAAAAATAAAAAGAAGTGCAGTCGATTATGTACTTATGGATGGAGATCTTTATAAAAGATCGGCTGATGATGGTCTACTATTTCAATGTTTTAGCAAGTTTGAAGGTTTAAAGATTATGGCAGAGGTACACGAAGGAATATGTTGAGCTCACCAAGCCAGCATCAAAATGAGATGGTTGATACGCCGATATGGATATTATTGGCCTAGAATGAAGAAAGATTGCATGGCCTATGCAAAGGGTTGTACAGATTGTCAAAAGCATGGCCTAATGCAGTGGGTTCTAGCAATAGAGATGCAATTATTAGTCAAACCATGGCCTTTCAGAGGTTGGGCCATGGACTTAATCGGCAAGATTAATCCTCCTCCATTAAAAGGTTATCATTGGATTATTTTAGCTGCCGATTACTTCACCAAAAGGGTAAAAGCCGAGGAATATGTATCAGTAACTGGTAATACTGTTATACAGTTTTTAGAGCGACATATCTTTTACCGATTTGGTTTATCAGAAACAATTGTTGCCGATAATGGATCTGTGTTTCGGGCAGGAGAAGTATTGCAACTCGGCTGTGATATGCAAGTAAAAATAGTAACTTCAACACCCTATTATGCTCAAGGGAATGGTCAGGCTGAGGCTTCGAATAAAGTTGTAATTGAAATCATTGTAAAAATGATAAAGGACAAGCCGAGGTGTTGGCATGAAACCTTTTCAGAAGCCTTGTGGGCTTATAGAAATTCAAAGCGAACAAGTACAGGAACAACTCCTTATCGGTTAACCTTTGGCCATGATGCTGTGTTGCCAATGGAGTTAAATGTAAAATTGGCAAGGGTAGCTCTACAACATAATCTTATACCTGCCGATTACAATGAAGCTATGCTTGCTGAGTTGGAGGATTTAGATGAGGTTCAAAAACTTGCTTTAGACCACCTTATGGTCCATAAAGCAAATGTAATGAAGGCTTACGACAAAAGGGTGAAGTTCAAGTCATTTGCAGAGGGTGATATGGTTTGGCAAACAATTCTCCCACCTGGAAAAGTAGACAGAACTTATGGCAAGTGGTCACTTACATGGAATGGACCATATATAGTTCATCAGGTGTTACATGGAGGTGCATATAAGTTGAAGGATTTGGATGGTGAGGTGCATGAAAGACTAATAAATGGAAGGTATTTGAAGAAGTATCAACCCATTATTTTTGAACTTATGGAGGAAAAGAAAGCCTCTAATAAGTCAAATATAAAGAGTGAGTGTTCAGCTTAAGCCATTTATGAAACTGGAATAAGAATGATAGTGGGTGGTTTTATGGTGTGTGTATCAACTCGATGCAATGGGTTTTATTTGAATTTTGGAAGCAGAAGGGTTAAAACAGCTACCAAAATTGGGGGGGCATTGTTGACACCCATTTTGGTAATTACATGGGCATTAACGTGGCAGTAAGTATTGGTTTGAAATTAAACATTCTCGGCAGAATTACTGGGCAGTGACGTGGCTATAATTTGGGCTGAAATGGGTTTATGTTGTTTACGTGGATTAAAATACATGCAAAGGTTGGAGAAGCCGTTGAATTGACTAGTGAATAAGGATCAAAAGCTAGTATTTATCTTTTAGATAAGTTTAGTTATATAATTTTAATATATATCGATTAGTTTGTGTTAGTTAAATGGTGATAGTTATCTCTAGGATTAGTTTATTTTGAATTTACAATTGTTTGATATAGAGTTGTAATGCAAGTAAAATACTTACGTGTATGATTTAGTTACGAATTATTCTATAAATAAACAAAGTGGTATGTTGTACTAGGGGTCCAACACCTTCAGAATCCTTTAATTTATTTGTTTACTTTCTCAAGCACTTTTCCCAAATAGCATCATTGCTATCTATATCTCTCCCCATCTCTATTTCAGCCTCATTCTATTTCTCTCCCTATATCTCTATCTCTTCTCCCTATCACTTTCTATATCTAAATTTTCTCCCTTTTCTATTCTCTCAATTAATACTATATATTATTCACTGATAAAGTCATTTTAATTAAGATAATTAAAACTCAAAGAGGAATTATATTTGTTCTCTTTCTCCTTGCATCGCCCGATAGTCAATATTCTCAAAGAGACTACAGTTGACAACTCACACTTGAACCATATAATTGGTTCTGGCACGCTCGCACTACATCAATTTAGAATCGAATCTTAGGAGCCGATTTTTAAGGTCAACAGTATAATTCTCGTACATCTAGTTCCTCTCAATTCCGCAATAATAAACATGAACATGCTGTCAATATTCACGGATGATTTTAGCAATATATATATATATATATATTATGGTTTTCAAAGTTATTCAAGAAACCCCTTCAGATTTAATATTATATTAATTTAGAGATAATTTGAAAGGTTATTTTGTTTTCTCTTAGTATATTAATGGCGTTTGTTGGATTCTTTATATACTAATAATTAACCGATAAAAAAAACTAATGATTATAAATAAAATTTATAGTTGATAAAGAAGTGTATTTAAAAATAGTATTAAAATGTATATAAAAAATAAAAATAATTTACACAACTAATAGGAGTATATTTTTATATAATTATATTGAAACATTGGTGGGTTCATACATCATTTAATATTTAAAATTACCTGTATCTCTCTCATTCTATATATATATATATATATATATATATATATATATATCATGCTGAATGTCCATCACCACTATGGTTACAAACACGATCGCCTCCTGTGGGGAACACCACATGGATTCGGCATGGTAGTAGTTACTGGTAAGAATATTAATTACAAATTGATGCATTATTTTATGAAAGTAGTTGTTATCCACGATCAGCTATATAAGCACACATTAACAGTGTCAAAGGACAGCATAAGCACAACGTACTCATCACATTCAAATACTTTAAAGATGAGGAATATTGAAGTTCTCTCCAGGGAGACAATCAAACCATCAACTCCAACATCCCAACACCTCAGAAACCATAGACTCTCTTTATTAGACCAACTTTCAATCCAATTTTATGTCCCAGTCATACTCTTCTATGATGATCATGCACGCAGTAGTAGTGATGATGATCATTTGGAAAGATCAAACCTGCTCAAGAAGTCTCTAGGAGAATGCTTGAGTCGCTATTACCCGTTGGCCGGCACAATTCGGGAAGATTTCTCAGTTGATTGCAACGATGAGGGCGTGGAGTATGTTGAAGCCCGGGTGGACTGCAAGCTCTCTGAAGCTATTAAGAAACCGACTTTCGAGTTGTTGAACCAGTTGCTACCATTTGATCCATATGGTAATAATGTGACTGGACGTACCGAATTAGCACCTGTAGGTGTTAAATTCAATATATTTGAATGTGGAGGTGTGGCAATCAGTGTGTGTGTTTCACACAGGATCGCGGATGGAACTTCTTTGGTTACATTTCTAAACGCTTGGGCAGCTATGTCCAGAGCCAGTACAAGTACTAGTGAAGCTGATGATCAGAAACAACAATATCCCATTTTCGACGCAGCATTGCTATTCCCACCCAGAGATATGCCAGGATTCAAGCTTCAGACAGCTGATCAGACATCCACAGGATATGAGAAAATCGTGACCAAAAGGTTTGTGTTCGACAAATTTAACATCATTGCCCTCAAACAACATGCAACATCATCGTTATCACAATCTGGTGTTGGTGTGTGTTGTGAGGAGGTACAAAAGTACCCCCCAACCCGCGTTCAGGTGGTTTCAGCACTAATTTGGAAAACTTTCATGACCGCAATTCGATCAAAATCCAAACCGGGGAAGATGTGTGTTGCAATTCATTCAGTCAACTTGCGGGAGAGGATGGTACCACCATTGCCGAATCACTTCTTTGGAAATCTTTGGCAAACTACAATGGCACCAACAACGGTAGATGGCGACAAAAATTTTGGTGGCTTGGTGCGTTTGATAGGGAATTCTGTGAGGGAAATCAATGACGAGTATGTGAGAAGGATAATAATGGATGATGGTTTTGTGGATTCAAACAATAAGGAACGTGAACGAACTATAAAGGGTGAAATAGAGTTCTTTGGGTTCAGTAGTTGGAGTAGATTTCCATTCTATGAGGCTGATTTTGGTTGGGGAAAGCCTACATGGGTGTGCACTCCAATTGTTCCATACAAAAATGTGTGTGTTTTGATGAGCACTAAAGAAGGGGATGGAATTGAGGCATGGGTGAACCTGTTGGAAAAAGACATGGCTATCTTCGAACGAGACCTAGACCTACTCTCATTTGTTTCCTCTGTATTCTAGTGATGATCGCTGTATAATGTATTATCCTTCCAAGATATTAGATATTCTAATAAGGATATATGATGTCCCTGTCCATTTGTCTGTTTGATCCAATATTTTCCCCTGTAATTTCTTTCATTGTTGTATGTACTACGTATTACTATATGTTACAATGCTTTGGGTGTTGAATATTAATGATGATAAAAATGAATCTCGATTTTCATTTTCTATTTGGTTCTTACATCTCATGGCTACAGACCAATATAATGCTTATCTGAACAATGTTTTTTTCAGTGCGTTTAAAACGATGGTTTGCCCGAAAAGTATACCATAAAAAAAACGATACCATACTTCACCAAGAATTTTCATAATATAATGAAAGAAAGGGACGAGACATGTTGACTTTTGACCTTTTAGTCGGGGAGTAATTACGTTTTTTTTTTTTTTTTTTTTGAGTTAATGTAAAATTATTATTATATCCTTTATTTTATAGATTTATATACAAAAGGGAATAGCGTCTTGGAAATCAATAAAGGGTAATTTTGTTATTTATTAAATTTAATTAGTCATGTGCCAACCACACATTTTTTTAACTGGCATTTTTAACAATAACAGCCTAAAAATCCTTCTTAATAACATTTTTAAATTCTTGAGGAAATTATATATCCAAAGTAAAAGAGAATGTGTTATTTGCTCAAAAAGTAAATCTTAAGAGTGTATTAGATACTTAACCTATGAAATAATGAAAAACATATTATAAAATTTTCGAATTCCAAATCTTTTTAATGTTGTGTTTGGGGTATTGAGTGGTTTAGACTTTGAAATTAGAGAAAATTTAATTCATTAATAAATATAAAATTAGAAAAAAAAAAAAAAAAACAGTGCTCCAAATTTATTAAAAAAGTGGCACTAACCTTTGACTAGTGCGAACTATAAGCAAAAAAGATAAAACTAGGTTGGCAAATTTTTTCTCTTTCATGCTTTCACGTCTGCCTTGTGAAAACCAATAACAACATTAACCTCCTTTGTGTACAACCTCTCATTTTCCATCTTCTTTCATGGACCATAAATTGTCAGAAAAGTATCATTTTCAATGAAGGTGTGATGAAGGTTACATAATATAGTGTAAAATATGTGTGTATATATATCTATATGTATTGCTTAGGTCATTACAGAAGATAAGAATCGAAATAATCATCAAGTCAAATAAGACAGCAGCCCCTTAACAAAAACTATCTCAAAGAACAAGCTGCTCTAGCGACTACTAACTTTAATGGTGTTATATGGTCAAAAATTAAACGGATTAATAAATCAATTTTCTTTCCCACCTTTTATTGTAATTTTTTTTTTTCTAAATATAGTGATCAAATTTGGGATTAAATTCCCTTTTCAGTATGATTACGGACTTTGGAAACAATGATTTACAACAACCAAAAGAAAAAAGTTGTCATTTTCATCTTGTAAAACATGTCTTGTTTTATATAAACCCAGGCCATAATGTTTGTGTGTGTGTGTGTGTACACACACACGCCCATGATATTAGATTGACCCACCTCTGATTTTGTCTTCTCCTAAATTCTTGAGAAGGATGGAGTTGTTAAGGATTCTAATCAACTATTTTTTTAATTGTTTTAAAAATTTTCATGTTAAAACTTAATAAATATGTAAATTTATTCAGATTTAAGTAAATTGCATTTTCACCCTTGAAGTTTATAGGTGGATTCATCTTGAACCCTTGAGCTTTAAAATTAACAAAATTATTATCCAGTCATCCGGGGGAGGGAGAAAAAAGAAGAAAAAACAAAACAAATAATTATCCTTGAAGTTTAGTGGCATGAAATTGATTTGCACTTGCTTATATAATTTTAAACTATTTTTTCCATTTCCTTTAGTCTAACAATTTAGAATAATATCTAATTAATCCGTCTTCGATCAATAAAATATGGATTAGAAGAATTGTCAACAAGTTATCTCCATCCTATGTATTTGAGCATGACGACCCTTATCATCTGAGTATATAGGAGACTAAGCAACAAAGAGAAAAGGGATCCCTTATAATTTAGGTATATGGAAAAAAATAAAAGGGAATCCATTTGGAGGATAAGTGTTTGATGGGAATAGAATTTCCAAAAATGTTTTTATCTATTATTATAACAATAATTCTTTATCTTCAAGTTAATTAATTTTTAAAACTAATAGTGAACTTTGTTTTACTTTTCTGAGAACAAATATCTTGAATTATATAGAAAAAAAATTTGAAACAGTATTCTAAAACTAAATTTGATTTTTTTTTTTCCTTTAAATTTTTTAAAAATATTTTATAATTTTATTTACATCGGACTTCATTTGCGTACTTTCCCTGTTAATTACTTTGGACCGCCTCTGGTTTGATAACTAAATTTGATTTTTTTTTTTTTTTCTTCCTTTAAATTTTTGAAAAATATTTTATGATTTTATTTGCATCGAACTTCTTCTCCTTGAAATTTCATCACTGTATGAATTCTTTTTTTTTTTCATTTTCTCATATTATATGCCAAGTCTCCTTGAATTTTAAGATGAGCAATTGATATTGTAAAGGTGATACTCGCTAGCCAAGTGAATCAAGATATTAATTTTTTTTTATTTGTTTCATCTTTTGACATTCTTATTTTAAAGGCCTAGTGGTTTAGATTAGAGGCATCAGACATTTAATAAGAAAGGTATTGTTGGAGTGTATGGTACTTAAAGGTCTCAATCGTGGGTCTACAAAATATATCTGCATCACAATTCATAAATTGATTCAACCACCATTGAGCGGTACAAGTCAACATTTAATAATAGAGAGCATAAATAAATGGATTTGATAATTATTCAATGACAGCAATTTTTGAACGCATTAAAATTATGTTTGCCCACTAGTTAGGTGATTGGCGTGTCACTCTGTCTTTGTTGCCATCGTAAAAAGCAATTTTAATCACTTCAACTAATATAACAGTGAGTCCATCATGGCATCACACACACACACACACATTCTAGTACCTTGTCAAGATGGATGTGCTATGGACCAACTGAGCTTCAATTGTCCTCCAGTGTGATTTATCAAAACTAGACTCATGCATATTTCCACACACCACACATAAATTATATATATGCATATGTATATAGCATGAATCTTGCTAGTTTGCAAAGTTGGCTTATGTGGTTTTTTAATTGGGAATTGGTATATGTTACTACTGGTAGTGAGAATAAGCTACGAGAGAGCATTTAGTGCTTCTGTTGTTTGGTGCAGCAAGTATTTCTGGTGTGACTAATTGGGCCCAAGACATTATACACACACACACACACACACACACACACACAAATAGTAGTTTGACATGGTTATTGAGTATCAACCATTTTAAATTCATGTGAAACCCATGTCAGTATAAGCACTTATTGGCACCAGAAAATTATATTTTGCTACAAAAGAAATTTGTAGGATGAAGTGAGTACTTTTTTTTATTTTCATTTTTTTGCACTAAATAAAAAGAAAAGAAATCCGTTGGATGAGAGAAGCACGAAAAGTGTACATATATATATAATGGACCCTCTACCGGTGCTGTATTGCACTGAATTCCAACACGCATACGCTTCGGATATAGTACATTACCATGCTAATTACGCACAAAATTTCACAACACGTATATATATATATATATATATATATATATATATTATGTATGTATGTATGTATTATTGTTGTTTTGAAGAGCCGGCGGTGGACTTTATAGCCAACAAACTTATATATGCACAGTAGTCTTATGCAAACTGGCCCAATGATTTAACCAAGCAAAGAGGCCCAAAAGCATGTGAATCACATCCAACACACCCTCAGGCATGGGCGGGAACATCAACAACTCAGAGGAGTCTCTATTGGTGGTGCTAATTGGCAATGGTGCTTGTTTGGTTTGAGTTCAGTGGGTGAACGTGAAGAAGGGGTTGGTTTGGGATGCTTCAAATAATGAACTTGGGAGGTTCCATTCATCTGCAATCTGCTCTACTTATTTCTTGACTGAAAATAGGCTCAGCCTACGTTTTCATTTTTGTCGTTCGTTCAAAAATTAAATGCATGATAAATTTGTTTGCATGTCAAATTATGATTGGTCGGAACCATATAAAAAAATGAATTTTTGCAATTCCCATTGATTAGGCGTATTGTGTCCATTCTTTTTGAGTAATATAGAGGGAATGAGTTGAATAAATAAAGGATTTCTAACAATGGAAATAAAAAAAAAACATAGTAGAGAAAATTATGCTGCATATATATAATGTCGGTTACAAAGAGTGAACAATAGGTAATGGGCTATACTGTAAATTACAGGGCAATCAGAAGGCCATGGGTAATATGGGCTATTTGATCCGGGTTGGTTTAATTAGGTTGGGCCACTATAATATGGGCCTGTTTGCCGTTAAAAATCGCGGGGTTCGTTTTATAATTTGTCAAGGCTTCAAGCTATTGTTTTCCCCCCATACAACTACGCTCCATCCAATTTTTCATTTTAGATTTGAATTTGATAAAATAATCATGAACAATCATCATGCTACCCACCCACTATATTAATTTTGTTGTACAGAAAAAACTGAAATATTGAATATGGAATCAAACCAAATTTTAGCAATCTAATTAAACCAAATTTTAGCAATCTAATTTTAGCTTTCATTGGCAATAATTTACAACTTCAATATCTATTTCGCTTGTAGAGTTATCCGATGAGTTATTAGAATTTGTTTTCAATAGAATCTTTTGCATTCACAAGTTTCTTATTTTTGACAATTTGCCAATAGAAAGAAAAGAAAAAAAATGTGACATTAATTTATTATGTTGGGACCACAATGGTCTATAAATTTTGAGGGTTCGCCTCACTAATAAACGTCAGTTTCTGCTTCTAAGAACATAGCTGTGTTAGTAGGGATCCAAGAGATGAGTCTTTAAAATTTTGCTTTCGAACAACACTCTTGACTTAAATGGTACGTGTGTTGTGGAACCTATACACGTGATATAAGAAAAAAAATATAATAAAATAAAATAAAGGTGAATTTCTTGCTTTCTTTTCATTTTTTTTTATACAGTATATTAAGGTTATTTAATTTTTTTTTTTTTTTGTTCGGGCAACGAACTCTGACAAATAGAGTTGGGGAAATTTGATATATCATTTTTTTATTTTTTACTCCTGGTGGTTATTGATAAATAAAGATTTCAAAGAGTTTTGTGAAATTAGCCATTCTTTTTATTTCAAAGAGTTTTGTGAAATTAGCCATTCTTTTTCTTTCTAGTTCTCTTCTTCACAAGGTGTTGGTCATTCAAATCAACCTAGAAGTATAGGGTTTAGGGTTTGGGATTAGTCGGGCTTTCTACCATTTTGTGCCCACCTATTCCTTGGACTCTAAGGATGCAAAAAATTGGGCCAGCTTAATACAGGCCCAAAGTGCAGTGTAAACCTCATGATATTCAATTTACAACAGTAAATGATTGCTGGATTGATGAGTTTTAGAATTCCGAAATAGCTTTCAAAAAGATTTCTAATGCTTATAAATTGTCTAAAATATAATAGTGGCTTCTTCTCTGGTTTAGATCTGAGTAATACTGTCATAAAATTTGACACTCTAATTTTTTTGAGGTCATTCTTAAATTTTACTTAAAATCGTACTACTATAAAAGTTTGAAAATGTTATTTTATTTATATATTAAATTAATAAAATTACAATATAATAATCATTTAACACAATTGGATCAAAGACTGAGTGTTGTATTTTTAAAATTATTAGAGAGGTTTTGACAATCTAGGTAAAGGTAAATATAATTAAGCCTTCAAAATAATACCAAACTTGTATTCTCCCCAGGTCAAAGAGGTAGGATGCTTAATATTAGGGGCAATTTGGTGGCTTAATTTGTTAATCAGAACTCACTTTGTAGAAAAAACAACTAATCATTTGAATTTGGGTTTTCACACATTTCTTGAAAACGATGATATGAATCGTTGATCGAGGTTAGGGCATTTCTTGGTGGTTGGAACCCACGTCATATTTGCTTGAAGGCCAAACCAGGAGCTTTTCTTCCTTAATTAAATCGGATATTCATAAATCAAAAAATTTAAAGCTATAAACCTAACAAATCGGATCAGATCAAATTAAATGATATTCATGCATCATTTAATATTTAAAATTAAGTGTATGTCTCTCATTCTATATATATATATATATATATATATATATATATATATATATATCATGCTGAATGTCCATCACCACTATGGTTACAACCACGATCCCCTCCTGTGGGGAACAGTACCACATTGATTCGGCATGGTAGTAGTTTACTGGTAAGAATATTAATTACAAATTGATGCCTTATTTTATGAAATTAGTAGTTATCACGATCAGCTATATATATAAGCACACATTCATTACCAGTACTGTCAAAGGACAGCATAACAACAACTCATCACATTCAAACACTTTAAAGATGAATATTGAAGTACTTCTCTCCAGGGAGACAATCAAACCATCATCTCCAACACCCCAACACCTCAGAAACCATAGACTTTCTTTATTAGACCAACTTTCAATCCAATTTTATATCCCCGTCATACTCTTCTATTAGGTGCTTTCAGCACTAATTTTGAAAACTTTCATGACCGCAATTCGATTAAAATCCAAACCGGGGAAGACTTGCGTTGCAATGCATACAGTGAACTTGCGGGAGAGGATGGTACCAACAGTGCTGAATCACTTCTTTGGAAATCTTTCAAAAACTACAATGGCACCAACAACGGTAGATGGCGACAAAGATTTTGGTGGCTTGGTGAGTTTGATAGGGAATTCTGTGAGGGAAATCAATGACGAGTATGTGAGAAGGATAATAATGGATGATGGTTTTGAGGATTCATACAATAAGGAACGTGAATCAACTATAGAGGGTGAAATAGAGTTCTTTGAGTTCAGTAGTTGGAGTAGATTTCCATTTTATGAGGCTGATTTTGGGTGGGGAAAGCCTACATGGGTGTGCACTCCAATTGTTCCATACAAAAATGTGTGTTTTGCAGAGCACTAAAGAAGGGGATGGAATTGAGGCATGGGTGAACCTATTGGAAACAGACATGGCTCTCTTCGAACGAGACCTAGACCTACTCTCATTTGTTTCCTCGGTATTCTAGTGATGATTACTGTATAATACTGTATTATCCTTATTTCTTCCTATAATTTCTTTCATTGTTGCATGTATTACCGTATATATTACAATGCTTTGTGATAGGAAAAAATAACCTACCTTGACCAGCCGCCAGACCTCTTCGACATATTTCGTTATCAGAGATAAAGATTTTCATCGGATAAGAATGATGACAATTCTTATCTAGGATAATGAATGACGACGTGGTTCAATAGGGTGAGGATAACCTTGGCAAAATTTGAGAAAGTCAAAGTAGTAAATCATATCCCCGACAAATCTGGCAACAAACAATCTCCTCTAATCTCGCACAAGCAGATCTCCCGCGGAACCAATTTGATTCCAATCGACAGCCATAAATAAGGCATCAAGCCGTTAAAGAAGGTATGTGAAAAAACCCCTAGACATGATATACATAATTATTATGTGATACGATTACAAGTACTAACTTGATCGTCGAAGGGACCTTAGTTGGCACCCCACCAGTGCCATATATTCGAGGTGACGTCCCTTTGTTTTGCAGGTAAACGCCGTCATTCCGAGTCGCGAGAATTTTTGCATCAAAAGCTGGCGCCGTCTGTGGGAACGATTAGTTCTCTGAAGAAATAATAATCCCGATGCGACTTGGCTCGGATGGCAAGACGAAAGTTTCCGATCATGGAAACCATTCCAAAGTCATCAGTTGACAACGGGTTTTCATGTTCTTATATAAGGACGGGACTCTATATCCTGACTACCCGTCCATTATACTGGGGGCAGAACGGTGGGTTGCGTGATGCCATCTAGTGTATGATGACAATAATCAAAATTTGGCACATCGACCCAGGCAGTCCAATATGTTGTTTTCCATCTAGCGATGCTTGTTCCCTCACTACTGAGGTTTGGTCGTCTAAGACCAGACTTTATCTCATATCGAGCAGCAGCTAATTACCAAGGCCCGATCGTTGAAGACTAAGGCCTGGTCCTCTTGCACCTACATAAATGGGTAGGTCTCCACCCATCAAGAAAATCACTACCAACAAGGGGGTCTTTACCTACTAATAAAGCCTCTACTTCTGAGGATGTCTCTAGCAACGGAGTCTTATTACTCCGTCCATTCGTGCAATTAGGGTGGCCTTCTATACCCAAGAATGTATCGAGGCCTTCAGGTCCAAGGATGTCCAATATCCCTCAAGATCCCATGTCCAATGAGGTCTGTATTCCCAAGGAGGTTCCTAAGTCTTTATTGGACCCAACGAGGTACGGGCTACCAAACCGTCATCTGGTACTGCTCACCAAACCGTTATCTATCAGCTGTTGGGTACCACGCCCCTATCCACTAGGCATCAAGCCAGTCGCTGAACATTAATCCTCCACCTACCAGACGACAGTCGTCACCTCTCTTCGCTTGCAGGAATTGCCTATCGACTTCAGATTATGCAGAATTTTGGATTGATAATCCATTACAGGTTAATTTTCAGTAATTATTTCTAACACAATCTAATATTTTTAGACAACTGTAAATTGTTGCAGCACCAGGCACTCCGTCCGCTGTATAAACATTTATAGAATGGGTCATCACCCAAGATCCCACCATCGAGGGCAGAATAGTGGATCATACGATATCAATCGTCGATCTACATATGATGAAAAGGTTTAGAAGATTGACGTACCAACCTTGGTACATTCGAGCTAGTCGGGTTTCTAGTATCTCTCCTTTAGCAACCCCTCGGGGGCACCAATAGTCCAAGACCGGTGCCCGATCCTCCGAAACCATAACCTGGTAAGTCTCTACACACCGGAAAGGGTACAACCCTTGGTTATCATAAATCAAGGCTTGGTTATCCGAAACCAAGGCCTAGCTAACCAAGATTAAGAATTGATTGCCCAAAGTCTACAAAGGCTAGGTCATCCAAGATCAGTGCCCGGTTACCCCAAGTCTAGTCATCAGAGACCAAAACCAGGGCCTAACTGACAAAAGTATGGTCATCAGAGATCAGGACTTAACCTACAAAGGTCAGGTCAAAAAATGATCCTCCCCCTCACATGTTATACCTATGTGGTAATTAATTCCTTTACTAAATGGACAAGCTAAGTGAAGCTCGTCAAACTTAATTCCTTTACTAAATGAACGAGCTAAGTGAAGCTCGTAAAACATAATTCCCTTACTAAAGGGACGAGTTGAGTGAAGCTCGTAAAATTTATTCCCTTGCTAAAGGGACGGGCTGACTGAATCCCGTAATCAATATCCCCGTATTATAAGGGATAGTACATAAATGTCCTGTACTAAAAGGACTCGGGCTGAATGAATCCCGTAATCAATATCCCCGTACTATAAGGGATAGTAAATGAGTGTTAAAATGATCCAGGCTGAATGAATCTTATAATCAATATCCCCATACTATAAGGGATAATAAATAAATGTCCTGTACTACAAGGACCCGAACTGAATGAATCCCGTAATCAATATCCCTTTATTATAAGGGATAGTAAATAAAAATCCCTTACTAAAGGGACGAGCTGAGTAAAGCTCATAAAATTTAATTCCCTTATTAAAGGAATGACGACCTGAGTGAAGTTCGTACAATTTATTCCCTTACCAAGGGAAGAGTACCCAATGGTACCAAAAAGAGTACCTAGAGGCAGAATACACAAGGATACTAAAAATAGTACCTAAGGGAAGATTACCCAAGAGTACAAAAAATAGTATCCAATGGTACCAAAAATAGTACCCAGGGGCAAAGCACCCAAGGGTACCAAAAATAGTACCCAGGGGCAGAGTACCAAAGGGTACTAAAAATAGTACCTAAGGAAAGATTACCCAAGAGTACTAAAAATAGTACCCAAGCGAAGATTACCCAAAGGTACCAAAAATAGTACCCAAGGGAAGAGTACCCAAGGAAAAAAATTACCTAAGGGAACCGTACTAGGGGAATAGTACCCAGGGCAAAAAAAATAAAATAAAATAAAATAAAATAATTATTCCAGTGAACAGTACCCGCGGGTACTGTTCCCTAGGGAATAGTGCCAAAGGCAAAAAAAAAAAAAAAATTTACATTCCCAAAGCTAGACCAGTAGGTTTGGAAATGGGGGGCAACTGATAGGGAAAAATAACCTACCTTGACTAGCCGCCAGACCTCTTCGACATATTTCGTTATCAGAGATAAAGATTTCCATTGGATAAGAATGATGACATTTCTTATCTAGGATAATGAATGACAATGTGGTTCAATAGGGTGAGGATAACCTTGGCACAATTTTAAAAAGTTAAAGGAGTAAATCATATCCCCGACAGATCTGGCAACAAACGATCTCCTCTGATCTTGCACAAGCGGATCTCCTGTGGGACCAATTTGATTCCAATCGACAACCATAAATAGGGCACCAAGTCATTAAAGAAGGTACGTGAAAAAACTCCTAGACATAATATACATAATTATTATGTGATACAATTACAAGTACTAACTTGATCGTCAGAGGGTCCTTAGTTGGCATCCCACCGGTGCCATTCGAGGTAACGTCCTTTTGTTTTGCAGGTAAATATCGTCGTTCCGAGTCGCGAGGATTTTTGCATCAACATTTTGGATGTTAAATGTTAATGATGATGAAAATAAATCTCGATTTTTATTTTCTATTTGGTTCTTACATCCCATGGCTATAGACCAATATGATGCTTATCTGAACAATGTTATTTTCTGTGTATTTAAAATGATGGTTCGCCACGTATTTTCATAAAGTAATGAAAGAGAAAGACGAGACGTCTTGACCTTTTTGTTGGGGAGACTAATTACGTACAACTATATATATCAACCTTTTGTTTCCTTTTAGCTGGGGGAGTAATTACGTACAACTATATATATTGTTTCTTTTTAGTTGGGGAGTTATTACGTACAACTACATATCTACCTTTTGTTTCTTAATAAAATATCACACCTACCATATAATATCGTAACGAGGTTTGTTTGTTCAGATAAAAATATTTTTTAAAAAATAATTTTTTTATTTTTTTAATGTTTGATTATCATAAAATATTTACGCAAAAAAAAAAAACAAAATTAAAATTTAATAAAAATAATTTATTCATTAATTTTTAGATAAGTTATTTTATATGAGCGGTGCTACATGACCCGACTGTATTGCACCCGACATCTACCAACTCATCTACATGGCTGTCCACGTTGCCATCTTCTTTCCGACTTATCCATAGCCACGCCGCTATTTCTCCTCAACCAAAATCGCCGCCATTATCTCCCTTCTTATACTGGTACCACTTCTCAACCATAACCGCCGCCGCCACCATCACTTCTCCTTCACCACAGCGGCCGCCACCATCTCTCTCCACACAGTATCACCCCTTGGGTTCCATAACCACCACATCTTTTATCCCTTTATTTCGTCTGTGTTTTATATACACAGGCCCATACACACATATATCCAACTGAAATAATAAACTGCCTAAATGGAGACGATGAATTCTTTGGATTACTTTGATTACCACTTGCTGGGTTTGGCTTCAGCTTCAGTGAGAACGTGAGCCGGATCATAAAAGCGCTGCTGGTGAATGCAAAGATTTCAAAGGACGCGAAGGAGACAGTGCAAGAGTGCGAGTCGGAGTTCATCAGCTTCATCACCAGCAAGGCCTCTGACGATTTGCTTTTTGCTTTCAACCCATTTGTTTCCTCAATTTGAACATCAATTTCAACAAGACGCTAGCTCAATTTCTTCTCCAATAACCCAATTTCAGACTCTTTCTCTTCCCCTTCTCAATCTCACTCTGCTCCCTCACAACTTCCCTCATTTCTCTCTTTAGTTTCTGCAATCTCCCCTCACTCTCTGCTCTTTCTCTCACAAACCCATTTCTCTCCTCCGCAATCACTTCAATCTGTTGATTGACATGCACAAAAACAAATTCAGAAACCAAGTTCCTCTCCAACTCCGGTCGCGCTATACCGTCTTGCAACTGAGTCAACTCGCCCTGCAAAACCCCTTTTTCCATTTCAGACCGTGTTAGCTGTGACACCCCTCGGATCCGAGACACGGGTTGATCAGACCCAGGCCCAAACCCGAGGGATATCAAACAATTAATATTTTATAATGAACACAGAATACAAACCGAAATAAGAAAATAAAGTTTAAGCTGATAGAAATTAAAATAAAATCCTCAAATAATAAAGATTCAATAATCCAGCTCAAAAACCTCTAAGGTTACAACTTGGGAATCCAACTAGTGGACCCCGAAATAAAACTCCAACTGAAACTGAGAACTGAAAGTAAAGATATTCCAAAACTAAACCATGAAGCGAAATCCTACATTGTCGGTAGAATGAATGAGAGTCCCTGCTTAGCATGATCAAGCTTGAGATTGGAACCGTCCGTTACCTGAAAAGAATAATAAAGAAGTGGGTCAGGCCCACATGCAAGTCATAGTCCAACTGTAATCCATACAGTGCCCGATACGCAGATACACCCTAGATACCCTCAACATAACTACGTAATCCATAAATATACATATATATCCACACTAAGGACATTCACTGAACTATAATAGAGGTCTCAACCTGAATAGAAAGCAACATGCGAAAACGCACCCAAAGGTGGGCATGAGTACCTAGACCTAACAGGGTACACCTACCTACTATATCCAGCTACGCATCCACTGCATATACGCATCCTAACCAACGACTCTGAGACTCACGCTCATATCGTGGTACCATAACCATATATTTAAAGTCCGTCCAAAATCATAGTATGTCATTCACTTATTCAATGAGGAGACATACAAAATACCGTCCAGATAAACACTCAACTTATTCAGTTGAAGTGACTTAACTACAACCAATTAATCCAGGAAGTCACTCAACCTAGTCAGTTGATTCGACGTAAACACATTAATGGATTCCATATTTTACAATCCATATTTTTCATCCGGTAGGTTAGGTTAGCGTTTTTAAGCTAAACCATCCCCTAGTATGCTACCGTCCCATACCGGTGCATACAATCCTCCATAATCATACAAATTATAACTTATAAACAATTATTAAGTGATTTACAGTTCAAATCCTCATCCATGTAATTGCAGAAAAACAGTTTATATTCTAGCAATTTAAATCCGAGCAAAAATTCAGTTAATTGCAGAAAAGATTTAAATTTGTCAACCATTAATATCCAGAGCATGCATATAACACATTTATTAAACAGGTAACCCTAACATGCATTTAGAATCAACATATAAGCTCATGTTAATCCACTGGATTCACAAAGTTTTGTCTAAGCAACTAAGTCTCCTTCCGTCGGTTAATCGTATATAATGTACATAACCTTTCTATAATTTGTTTTGTTAATTCAGAGGCAAGCTTTGATCAATCAAGGATCCTATTAGCACTTAAAATTAGCTTCTTAGTCACACTAAAAAGTCCTAGAATTTTTTAGACATAGTTCGGACCCTCAAAATTCCAAACAGCTCGTTAAAATTCAACTTCAGAACAAAGTTTGAGAGAGAGCCTGCTCTACTTTTGAAAGAGCAGGCTCTTGGAATTCCTAGAGCCGCCTCTAAGGAGGGTAGAGCCGGCTCTACCTCTCCTAGAGCCGGCTCTTTGCATTCCGGAGTCGGCTTTCTCCTCCTTCTCGAGCCTTCTTCAATCTCTGTTGCTCCTACGACTTCCTGCAGTGTTTCCGGCCATTCACAACCTGTCTAGTTGGTTTTAAACTGATCCTAAGAGTCCTATCTAAGACCAGTATCATTCCCAATAAGTGTTTATAGCAGTTAAATACAAAAAAAGAGGTTACATATTCATCAGATTTTTCATGCTTTAAGAAACAAACTGCTCACAGATACGCACCAACTGAAACATAACAACTTTTCACATATACAGAACATGGATATAACATCTATTAAACATAAGAAACTCATTTAAATGTTTAATTAAATCCTAGAGGCTATCTAGGTGCACAGAACACAGGCAAAGGGAAGAATAAAGAAAAGAACTTGCCTTTGAGTTTCAGACTTGAAACTCTAAATTCTCAGCTTCTGTGGTGATATGTTTGTGTCCTAAATTTCAAGTCTGCTCCCCCAGTACCTTGGTTCAACCCAGAGACACCTCCTATCTTCCTCTGTTCTCCCTCTGTACCTCACAGTTTCTGTGTCTTTTGCAAAACTCAATTCACGTCTCCGAGATAATTGCTATGAATCTAAAACCCTAAGCTTACTGCATGTAATATATTTATAAGCTTAACTCTGAACCCTAATCCTTGTAACCTTAAAGCCAGAGCCCATCTCGGCCCATAAACCAACCTAGGATATATACCTACGTCGGCCACCCATGTGAATTGCAAACCTAAATTCACGTGGAAAATAGAAAAACTAAATTCCATTAAATTTAAATTTCCATTAATAACAACGATTAAACAATTAAATAAACACAATTAAATAAAAATAACTAAATAAACAATTACCAAAACAATTTAAGCAAACAATTACATAACATGACTAATTAAACAAATAAACCATTAAGCAATTAATTAAATAAAACTATTACGCAAATAAGCAAATAAAATGCAAAAAACCATAAATTAAATTCCAGGAATAGCCTTTTAAAATTAGGGGTATTACATTAGCTCTGATTTCAAAAACGATTTTTCCTGGGGGAGTGAGTCCAGTTGTTTGCAGCCTCAGTGGTCTCCTTGAGAAGAATACTGTTTGGGGGTGGTTTGGTGGAATTAGTGGCGGTTGTGGTTGGGGGCAGTAAGAGGAGGAAGAGAGAGAATGAAGAAAGGACATATGAGAGAGAGAAGAATTGGACGAAGCTCTCTGGCTTTTGGGATCAACCCATGTTGTCCTTTTGGTGCAATCCTCAGCGTGAAGCTCGGACTCATCTGGACCGTGAAGGCATAGAGATGAGAGGCATTGCAGGAGAGAGAAGGGAGAAAGATGAGAAGAAATGCACTGGACTAAAATGGGTTTCGTGGACATCCTAAACCCATGAACGAACCCATTACCAGCTACCTCATCCTAGACTAATGGAAGAGAGAAGATGAACTAAAACGATGACACTATGGGTGTGTTTTTACTATTACAAGCTTGGGGGTATTTTCGGTATAACACATTTAAATACACAACACTTGTTTGGCTCATGTGACAACAGAGGTATTTTCGTGACAAAAGTCAATTTGTCAAAGCATTTGTTAACCACGCGCTGGGTTAACGGAGCCAATTGACAGAATTGGGGTAAAATGATAACGTTGTAATATTGTTGAGGGTTTTTAAAACTGGTTAGGGTTTTATGATCATTTTTTGAAAGTATTGGGGGTTTTGAGAAATTTGCCCTTGATTAATTGCATCAGGTGAAGATCCTTTGAGTTAGAGTTTGTAAAAATACTTTATATCTTCATAAATATATAGTAAAGCCAAGACTTAAAGTCCTAAATATAGAGTTACTAAAAATTAATTTGAAACATATAGAGCTCCAACAAATATAATTAATGTATTGTCTCATTTCAAATTATTAAGTTGTCATTTAAACTTTAAATATATATAATATTATTTTTTAAAAAATAGAAGAGTTATTATAAAAATATTGCATTTAATTTCATTGACTTTAAAAATTTTACAACAAATTTGGAATACCTAAAATGGAAAAATTGACCATTCATATGAGACAAAGGGAGTATAGTCATTACGCACACATTTGAAACCTGGGAGGACTATAATACATACATTGGGAAGAATACAAGATCGTGATGATGATGAACATTGAAGTTTTCTCAGTCCATATATACCCATTTCACTCATTTCATATATACTTATTTTACTTTCCATTTGAATCCGATGTGAAATAAGACTCCCCTTATAGCAATGAGGAACCACAGAATTAAGATTACTCATAGTAATGGTTAAAATATTTAAAATTGATACATTACTATTGTTTTATGGAAGTACTCAATTATCACAACTAGCTATATTATACTCCCTTCGCCCCATATTATTCTGTCCATCCCATATTAGATGTCCATGTTTAGAATTTAAAATTTTTAAGAGAACATACTATTAATTCATTGTTCCCTTATAAAGTTACAAACTTGTCTTTTTTTAGTTTAAATATGAATAGTTATCAAGTTTGAATTTTTTTGAAAACATAAAGGACAGTGATGAAAATAGTTTATTTGCTTTGACTTTTTCAAGGGAACAAATAATTTGGGACATCTAAAAATAGAATAATGGACTACTAATATGGGACATAAGTAGTAGTTGTCAATCTCTTTTTTTTCTTTTTTTTTTTTTTTTTAAGGGGAATTGTAATTAATGTATTCTCCTCTTTCAAATTATTAAGTTGTCATTTAAACTGTAAATAAATAAAATATTATTTGAATTATTTTTAAAAAATTAAAAGGATAATTATTAAAATATTGCATCTAATTTTTTTGACTTTTAAAACTTTTCAGATACCTAAAATTTAAAAATTGACCACTGACATGAGACAAAGGAAGTACAGTCATTACGGACACATTTGAAACCTGAAGGACTATAATACATGACATTGGTACACAAAACCGCAACTCACATTTCTCGGAAGAATACCAGATGGTGATGATGATGAACATTGAAGTTCTGTCTAGGGAGACAATCAAACCGTCATCTCCAACACCCCAACACCTCAGAAACCTTAGACTCTCTTTGTTAGACCAACTTTCAGTCCGATTTTATGTCCCCATCATATTTTTCTATGATCACATGCGGATTATAGCAATTCACATAGTGATGACGATCATCTTGAAAGATCAATCCAGCTCAAGAAGTCTCTAGGAGAATGCTTGAGTCGCTATTACCCATTGGCCGGGACAATCCGAGATGATATCTCAGTTGACTGCAACGATGCGGGCGCCGAGTATATTGAAGCCCGGGTGGGCTGCAAGCTATCTGAAGCTATAAAGAAATCGGATTTTGAGTTGTTGAAGCCGTTGCTACCATTTGATCCATATGGTAATGTGATTGGACGTAGAGAAGCACTGGTAGGTGTGAAATTCAATGTATTTGATTGTGGAGGAGTGGGAATTGGTATGTGTGTCTCGCACAGGATCGCTGATGCAGCTTCTGTGTCTGCATTTGTTAACGCTTGGGCAACTATGTCTAGAGGTGGCGGTAGCAGTACTGAAGCTGATGATCCCATTTTTGATGCCGCGTTGCTGTTCCCACCAATAGATATTGTGCCTGCAGGATTCAAGCTTGAGAGTACTACTGAGTACTGAGTCTACGACGACAAGGAATGAGAAGATCGTGACCAAAAGGTTTGTGTTCGACAAATTTAACATTGTTGCACTCAAAGAACGAGCATCATCATCTTCTTGTGTTGGGGTATTGAATAAGTACTCCCCAACCTGCGTTCAGGTGGTTTCAGCACTCATTTGGAACACATTCATGACGACAATTCGATCAAAACCAAAACCGGGGAACGAGTGTGTTGCAGTTCATGCAGTGAACTTGCGGGACAAGATGGTACCACCATTGCCCAATCACTTCTTTGGAAATCTTTTGCAAATTGGAGTGGCAGCAACAACGGTAGACGGCGACAAAGATTTGGGTGCCTTGGCGAGCTTGATAGGGAATGGTGTAAGGGAAATCAATGATGAATATGTGAGAAGGTTAAAAATGGAGGATGATCATGTGGATTCATCCAAGAAGGAGCGTGACCGATTTTTAAAGGGTGAGAAAGAGGTGTTTGCCTCCAGTAGTTGGTGTAGATTTCCACGTTACGAGGTTGATTTTGGGTGGGGAAAGCCTGTTGGGAAACGTGCTAGTTTAAAAAAAAACTTTTCATGGGATTTTTATTCAGATATCTTGATTCATTACATAGAGACAAGTTTTATACAAAAATAAAATATGATGTGTCATTCAATTAACAGATTGAATACTTACATCGAAGGTCTGAGTAAACCTTTAATTCTTTCCTCTAAAGTGAATGTTCTCACTTATTGTAAATCCCTTAGCAAGATGCCTTTTCCTTTGATCTCCATTTTCTTGGTAATTGTTTTGCCTTTAAGAATCACTCATAAGCCTCCATGAATGACCTTAGAAAATTAGGTTTGTGGGAACCTTCATTAGATGAGAGCATTAACCCTAATTTTTTAGAGAGAGAAAATATATTCCTTTTTCTCTTCTCATCAAAATCACCCCTCAAATATACATAGACCATGTATATTTATAAGCAACATAAAGATAAAGAAAATGAAATAACAAATCATCCTCAATCTCTAATTCACATGTCTCAAATCTAATATGATTCCAATATCAAGTTGGGCTATGAGTGATAATCCATTGGACTTATTATTCTATTGGTTACAATGAATTAATAATTGGCCCGATCCATGAATCCAATTCAATTAATTCATAAATCAATTTATACTCAACTAAAAGAAATTAATTAAACTCCAATTAAATAATAAATAACCTCTAAGTCAATGTTACACTTTGACCCCTCTATACATAATTAGTTATTGGATAAATAAAGCCATCAATCCGACTACTTAATTAATATATTTATTTTGGTATCATTGACTATTTCTGACTCGATCATAATAAAACATTTGTTTGACAAAAATAATAATTTAAATAAATAAATATATAATAAATCATTTTGTCTAAAAACACACGAATGCCTTCGAATTTACTTTGTGATCAATCATAATCAATACAAAAAAAATACAAGTAGTAATGATGCAAATATTGAAAATATAACCCTCTAACTATTAATTACATAACTACCCAAAGTGTCGGTCTAAGGATCCCGAAGTATCCGCTGAACAAATCAAAGTAATTATTAATTAATAAAAGAGTTTATATTTTTCTCATGCTTAAAAGTCAAATGTCATGACAGTGATAGGGAGCAATTGCATACGACGGCTCTCGCAATATATCTCCACCTAACGCGGATCCAGTTCAAGTCTTAATTAATTATGAGTCCATCCATAATTACTGACTATGAACAATTTATGATTACTATTTATATTCATGTATTAATCGCCATCACATACATATATAAATATCTCTTGTAATCAAGTGGACACTATCAATTCTATAATGAATCGAAATATAATACATTGAATTCACCAATTATATAAAGCATAAATATTTCAGAAACATCAGGAACATATGTCACTATTCCAGATAGGAATTTACTATGCCAGGGCATATAAATCCCAACAGCTCTCACTTGCCCTCATAGCCAATTCAAATTGCATCTAACTCCAATGTTATCCAGATGATGATCAAAATTATTGATCAATGACACCTTTGTTAATAGATCAACAAAGTTGTGTTCTAATGCAATGTTTTAGCCACAAGTACATTTTCTCGCCGGACAATATCATGTAGAACATGATACTCCCTTTCAGTGTACCTTATTCCTATATGGAACCTTGGGTCATTAGTTTGGACTACTTCTGCACTATTGTCGTAATATAGCTCGATAGGCAGGTTAGTATGCTCCACAACCTCTAAATCAGTGAGATCAAACCAAAAGGCTTCCTTTGCTGCCTTTAAGGCTGCAATGTACTCCACCTTCAAGTTTGAATCAGTAGTTGAAATCTGCTTAACAATCTACTAACTGATTTCTCTTCCATTGAGTTAACATACACTAAGTCATGAACCTCATAGTATCTACTTCTAATTGAAAATCAGAACTAGCATACCCGACTAGGACCATATCATCACATCCATAAATGAGTATGAGATAATCGGTACTCCTTAGGTACTTAATGATATTTTTCACAACAGACTAGTTATCAAGTCCAGGATTGGACTAATATCTTCTGACTATCCCTACAATGTAATGGATGTCCTGTTTGGTATAGACCATGGCATATATGAGACTCCCATATGCCAAAGCATATAGTTCCAGTCTTATTTGCTCAATCTTTTCTGTCAGTCTTGTAAAACTACCTACTGGAGAGAGCAATCCATGTCAATCAAGTAAGAACTCATTCTTTGAGTTTTGCATACCAAACCTAGTCAAAACTTTATCAATGTAAGATTATTAAGATAAGCTTATTTTCCTTTTAACCTGATCTTGCAAAAGCTTGATCCTAGGAATATAGCTTACATCTTGAAGATCCTCCATTTAAAAGTAATTGAACAACTACCTTTTTATTGATGACAAAACTTCCACGTCATTATAAATGAGTAGGATGCCATCAATATATAGAATTAGGAAAAATAATGACATTACCCTGTACACACATGGTTCATTCACTAAGAAATCTTCTGGTATCCTTATGTAGATTAACTTGCCTTCCATAGGTATCACCCTACTAGAAAGTTCTACAAAATCCCAGATTTTATTAGAATACATAGATTCCAACTCTGATTTCATAGCAACTCGCCAAAACGATCTGTATCTATATCGGTTCACGTTTCTGTGTAGCTTACTGGGTCCAACTCATGTTTGACAGGGATGTCCTTAACGGTCTCACCTAAAAACATGATTCTGTCGGATTGGATGATAATCCTCCCACTACATCAATTTACCGATACAGGAATCTGTGTACTAGATGATACTGACACATCAATAAGGAATTCATCTATAATTCTTAATCTTTATAATAAGTGTGTTCATATGTGGTACATCTGGTACTTATACCATATTCTCTAACACTATGCTACTAGGTATGTGATTCATAATATGATTCTTCTATAGATAAACAGTGAGTGTAAACAATCAACTTTTATCATTGAGATCATAAAATAATCCATCCTTGTGCCTTTAGAGTAGCTATCAAATTTATCATACGTATGATCTGTTTGCAACTTACTTGTCCATATCAAGCGCACATGTGTAAGACTACCCCATATGTGCATGTGATTTAAACTAAGATTTAGTCAAAAACACAGCTCAAAAGATATCCTTGAGACAGAATAAGATGGAATGCAATTCATAATGTGCATTGATATCGTCACAGCTAAACTCTAAAATGAAAGAGATAATGTAGCATAACAGATCATAGATCAAACCATGTTAAGCGGATTTCTATTATTCCTATTTGACACCTAAATCCATTTAGCATCAATTGCGGAAAACCTGGTACACCACACCCTCATTGACCATATAGTCTTTGCACTATCCCAAGAAATACTTATATCCACGATCAGATCGAAGTGTTTTGATAAGTTTACCTAATCTGTACTCCACGTCAGTCTTGACACTTTCAGAATATACCAAAAATTTAAGACTTGTGTTGCACCAGATAAATTTATCCAAAACGTGAGTAATCTTGCTTGGATGTTCATAAGACCACATGTGTCTGTGTGTACTGACTCCAATTGTCCTTTATGTCTATTTCATTTGGCTGATTAAGCACTTAGAGTTATCTATCCTTCAAAACAGGATTCACAAGTTTGGTTTAGGCTTCTTTGTCTCACTAGGTAATAAACCTTCTTTGACCAATCTTTGAATCTCATTTTGATTGATTACAACCCAAAAATAGACACTAAAAATACAATGAGTCAGGAATAACAAATTTTCTCTTAACATTCAGTCTAGAAGATGCAACATTAGTTTCTATATCCTACAAATCTTAAGAGCTTATGATTATAATATATTAACCATCTTTCAATGCACCAGAAGCAATCACATATCTATTCAATTTTATAAAACCAGTTTTACAAAACAACAATCCAGTTTTTTATAAACCACAAGTGAAACAAGAATTAGATAGCGTCTAACTTCTGTGCATAAAGATAGTTCTCTAATACTAATATCCTCATACTCTCTAATTTTAGATGTAATACTCCCACTGACTTAGCTACAACCTCGACATCAGGTCAAAAGATAAATATATATCTATATCATCGAGGCTTCTGGATTTCTGAAATCCTTGCAACGAATTACAAACATGTTTAGTGGCTCTAGAATTTATCCATCAGGAATTAATAGATACAACCACATAACATGGCTCAATGATTAAATATATATTTTCCTATGCCACGTCATTGCTTAGACAGTTCGTCCTTCAATGTTTTAGTTAGCGGCAAAAGAAACAATGTCCTTCACCCTCAACATACATTGCCTTATTCCCTTTAACCTTTTGGATACCCATGTTTTGTGCTAGCCTAGTCCTATTATCATCCTTCTTCTTTGCTTTGCCCGTCCACTTGAGCCTAGAAGAAGATGATATAGACTAGGTTAAATTGATAGGAACGCCCATACTCTTGATTATCCCTTCATCTGTTATCAATTCTATAAGAATATCAGTGAGTGTGAACTCAAACTAATTCCTTATTTAGTTTACTCTGAAAGAGCCGAACCAGTTTTGGTAACAAGGCAATAATCATATCAATATGAAACTTACCATTCAAGTCAGCTCTATTGACTTCCAGCTAATTTTTAAATAATAAATAATCATTTTCAAAATACAATTTCATACTAAAGTTCCTTAGGCTATCTTGATGGTGTTCAAGTCTAACATAATACGTAGGCATAAGCCCTATCTAATCTCACTAAAACATCTCATTAAGTATCTTAAAGTAAAAGAATTAGGTATAGGAGTATTAAATACATTTTGTACCCTTACGTTGTGAATAAAATATCTAAGTTCATTTTCCAGTCATTATAAAAGAGGTCCACATACATTGAATATGTTAGCAAGCAGATAACATGTATTAGACATAATTAATCTGAATATAGGTGCATTCATACAATATGCAAGGTGAATTATTAATACTATCATGCATATTTAAAATTAAAATGAGTTTGTTAACCACATAATATAATAAATCTCAATTGAATAAGAGATCATTATCATTATTGGTGAACAATTCCTTTTAATTAATGCGGATCCCTCAACTCTGTAGCATAATAAATCAACCAATCAATATGTCAATAATTTATCCTGTTGGAGAAGTTCATTATTACTATTGTTGAGATTCATTTGCTATTAGGCGAGTATTTCCATTAAAATAGTATGTGGGTCCCTTAACCACTGCATGAAAAATCGGATAACCAATACACCAATAACTTGTTCGGTTGGCAAAGTTCATTATTACTATTGGCGGACAAATCTCATCATCTCCATATTTCTTAAGACAATGCCTTGTCTATCTATATGAAATGATTCCCGAGTATGTTTAGCCTTTCTAAAATCACCTAATATAGATCACTCCGTTGGGGAACTAACACTATTGATTTTAGATTGAGTGTATAACGTTATTAAAGCTTTAATGAAAAGTAAAACATTAAATATCTTGTTATTATAATCTAGACTCTTTAAATCATGCGTAGGGCCTTATTTTTAAAGATTTAATTATAATGAACATTTAATATTTTTATTTTCATAAGACAACCATTCTTGTAATATTAAGACTCTTCAAATCATACGTGGGGCCTTATTTTTGAAGATCAAATTATAATGGTTTTAATAACGAAGGCCATGGGGTAATGTATAAAAATCTCCGCTCCCACTCAATTTTTAATCATATATTTAATTAGGGTTTTCAATTTATTCATTTACATGATATGATGCATGAAAAACGTCTTGATTTTAATTCAATTAAATTTAGAAAATAACTGGACTTTTAAATAATTCACTAATATTTAATTGGAGGCACACTTTAAAAATAATTTACAAAAATAATTTTTTGTTTCTCAATAAGTGCACTCTAATTAATTAGTAATCAAAACTAATTAATTTTCATAATTTAATTAATATAAATCAAGTAATTTAATTAAATATCATGGATTCAATGCATGAATAATAATTAATTAACAATTATCTATTCCATGCATGCCATACGTCTCATAAATAAATGACAGAAAACAAATAAATGAAATGGTCAATAGATTTAGCTTTTAACATTAAAAACTAAATAATTACTAAGTGCTATAATTATTGCATTCCATTAAATTCCCACTATTTTTAAATAATGGAGAATAATATTAAAATCCACTTTGGGGTAATAATTTACTCTTTAATGAGCAATAACAACACAAAATAATTATAAAAACAATCTAGGAGGTCCACCGTTGTATCTATGCACATGCAGGAACCAAGAAACTAGTCTCAGTAGCCTCCACGCAAGCCCACGCGCCCCACACCCTCGTTCACGCCCTTGCACGCGCTTATAGATAATGGTAGCGCGTGGCACGCGCTGCCACGCTCCTGAAGTGCACTGGTATGATCAGCGCGTGTATCTTACGCGTCCGGACGCGCTTGTGGAAGCTTGCAGTACGTGGCAAGCTCTGCCACGCGCCATGTGGCACTGATCTTTGCTGGCGCGTGGTCCTCACGCACCAGATCCTTGTGCACATGTTGTACACTCTCTCACGCGAAGCATTGGATCTTCTCTTCTTTTATTCATTTGATCCAGCGGCTGATCATGCGGTTGCACCCAATCATGGTGGACCGCGAAGCACTACATCTACCATCCTCCTTTCCAGCGTACCCCTTGCCGCCGGTAACTCTCCGGTCGCCGGAAAATCGCCGAAAATTAATAAAAATTTTCAGAAATTAAATTTAAGCCCAAAAAATTCCAAAAAAAATCTGAAAAATTCTGGAAAAATTTCAGAAAATTCCTGAAGCCTAATTTAACCCTCTTGGACCTTCTTGAAGCTTCATAGCATCCTTTGACGAAGATTACATAACTTTAAAAATATTTACAATTTTAAATATAATGGAAAAAAATTAAATTACATCATTAAACTTTTAAACGGCTAAATCAAAATCTTAATTACATTTATCCAAAGACCTATAAGCTTCATCCATGGCCCAAACATGCATCATCATTCATTCAAAATTATACATACATCATTATGTATCAATATATTAAATCATACATCAACATACATCAATATATATATAATTTAGATCCATGATGATGATTTTGATAAAAACATGATTTCTAGTAATGAATCAAACTATACTCTGATACTACTATTGGGAAACGTGCTAGTTTTAAAAAAACTTTTCAAGGGATTTTCATTCACAGATCTTGATTCATCACATAGAGACAAGTTTTATGCAAAAATAAAATATGATGTGTCATTCAATTAACAGATTGAATACTTACATCAAAGGTTTGAGTAAACCTTTAATTCTTTCCTCTAAAGTGAATGTTCTCACTTATTGTAGATCCCTTAACAAGATGCCTTCTCCTTGGATCTCCATCTTCTTGGTAATTGTTTTGCCTTTAGGAATCATTCATAAGTCTCCATGAATGACATTGGAAAACTAGGCTTGTGGGAGCCTCCATTAGATGAGAACATTAACCCTAATTTTCTAGAGAGAGAAAATATATTCTTTTTTCCTTCTCATCAAAATCACCCCTCAAATATACATAGGCCATGTATATTTATAAGTAACATAAAGATAAAGAAAATGACATAAAAAATCATTCTCAATCTCTAATTCACATGTCTCAAATCTAATACGATTCCAATATCAAGTTGGGTTATGAGTGATAATCCATTAGGCCTATTATTTTATTGGCTACAATGAATTAATAATTGGTCTGGTCCATGAACCCAATTCAATTAATTCATAAATCAATTTCTACTCAACTAAAAGAAATTAATTGAACTCCAATTAAATAATAAATAACCTTTAAGTCAATGTTGCACTTTGACCCCTTTATGCATAATTAGTTATTGGATAAATAAAGCCATCAATCCGACTACTTAATTAATATATTTATTTTAGTACCATTGACTATTTCTGACTCGATCACAATAAAACATTTGTTTGACAAAAATAATAATTTAAATAAATAAATATATAATAAATCATTTTGTCTAAAAACACACGAAGGTTTTCAAATTTACTTTGTGATCAACCATAATCAATACAAAATAAATACAAGTAGCAATGATGCAAATATTGAAAATATTTGCATTATTATTAATTAATAAAAGAGTTTATATTTTTCTCATACTTAAGAGTCAAATGCCATGACAGTGATAGGGAGCAATTGCATACGACGGGTCTCGCAATATATCTTCACCTAACGCGGATCCAGTTCAAGTCTTAATTAATTATGAGTCCGTCCATAATTATCAACTATGAACAATTTATGATTACTATTTATATTCATGTATTGATCGCCATCACATATATGTATAAATATCTCTTGTAATCAAGTGGACACTATCAATTCTATAATGAATCGAAATATGATATATTGAATTCACCAATTATATAAAGTATAAATATTTCAAAAATATCAAGAACATATGTCACTATTATTTAGATAGAAATTTGATATACCAAGCATATAAATCCCAACAAAGCCTACATGGGTGGGCACTCCCATTGGTCCTTATAAAAATGTGTGTATTTTGATGAGCACTAAAGAAGGTGTTGGAATTGAGGCGTGGGTGAACCTGTCGGAACAAGACATGGCTATCCTCCAACACGACCTAGACCTGCTCTCATTTGTTTCCTCGGTATATTAGTGATCATCCAAATATCACTGTATTCTCCTAAGAAACTATTATTTGCATGCTTGGTTGTATTTGTAATATACATATATAGTAGTTATACATAGAAAAATGAAAGCAATTACAGGGGGATGAGCAGTAGTAATATTCGATCAAACAATTAAATAGACAAATGGAAGAAGATAAACACACACACACATATATATATATATATATGTATATTACAAATATATGTGTGTGTGTGTGTTTATTATATATATATATGTGTGTGTGTGTTTATCTTCTTCCATTTGTCTATTTAATTGTTTGATCGAATATTACTACTGCTCATCCCCCTGTAATTGCTTTCATTTTTCTATGTATAACTACTAACGACTATAAAATGCTTGGATGTTGAATGTTGACTTTGAAAATGGATCCCTATTCTCTTCTTCTAATTGGTTCTTACATCTCATGGATACATATCTAAATGATGCTAGTTAAAATAATGAATGAGTTGTTTCTACTGCAGTTTGTGTTAGCCATCTCCTCCATTTGTGAAATTTTATTTTATTTTTCCAAAATCTCACACAACAAATATATATGCAATGATAACAACAGAAACAAATAAGATGAAAATAACACATATAACCAAGAATAAAATCTATGTAAGCTCGCTAAATTGTCTACTTTGGAGAAAAGAGAACATCACAATTCTCAAAGGATTACCAAGAAGTATTCCACACTACTTAAAACAAGACACACACTCTTTTAAAAAATATACACTCACTCTTGGGCCCTTAATAATCTTTTTCATCTCTTACTTTTTCTCTCTTTTCTTCACTTGGCTATTTATTTTTTCAGTTTGCTATATATTAGGAGAGTTCCTTCACAAGTGACAACAAGAGTAACGGAATCTTTATAAAAAGATATATTAAATTATTCATTTAATTTTTTACAAATTTCAAAAAAATTGTCTCAAACCCATATCAGTTTTGCACCGTGGACCAACCCTTTTGCCCGTGGTTTTTCACCTCACATATATAAGAAAGAAAAAGAAGATAAGAATCATTTTAACAAATAGAACAATGAAATGTAGTAAACTGTTTTGGCACATTTTTTACTTATATATATTCTCCAAATTGAGGGCTTTTTGAGATTGTTGGTCAAAATCTGTAAGGAATGGGTATAGGTGGGCTTTTACTTATTCTTTCTGGAAATGGTTGAAAGCCCAAGTTTTTGGATTTTAAAATTTTAATGATGAGTATATGAGAAGGTTAAAAATGGATGATGAGTCTGTGGGTTCATTCAAGCTGGGCCGCAAGACATTCAATAATAGCCCATTACAAAGTCCAAGACCATTGCTAATGGGATAGCCAAGTCCTTCAAGTTTACAACGTGTACGCTAGGCAATATAAGGAACAGAGGTGGGCACAAAAGGTTGAAAGCCCAAGCCAATGGATTTCAAAAACTTGGATCAGCTTAATACATGCCGGGCCAAAGTCCAGTGCAAACTTCATAAAATTCAAATTTCTAGCTAAATTTTCATTTCACAAGTTATAAACAACTTTGGTAGTTCACTAATGGAAATTAGTATCACATAATAATAAATAGTTACTTTTCCTTTTAGCATCCACTTGGAGAAAAATGATTACTGGACTGTCGGTTTCCTAAATGCCTTCCAATAAGATTTACAAAACTTCCTATTCGTAATTGCAATAAACAAAGTTGGTATCACTCTAATTCACATGGTGTAATTTTTCCAAATATATATTATATGGTAGCGGTTAAAATATTTTAAATTGATGCAATAATGTTGTATTATGGATAGAAGTAGTGTTTGACAAAGTTGACATTGTTCCCCTTAAACGTGCATCATCATCTAGTCTTGGCGAGTAAGGGTGGATCCAAGGGTGGGCACCCAAAAAAAAAAACGTACCACTTTAAGCCCAGCCCAAAAAAAAAAAAAAATAGTAATGGTAGCCCAGTCCAAAGTTAGTCCACCCCATTCAGAAAGGCTGGATCCGCCCTTGTTTGCGAGTGTTCCGAGGTAGTGAAGTACTCTCCAACTAGCGTTCAGATAGTTTCAGCACTCCTTTGGATCACTTTATGACGACAATTCAATCAAAATCCAAACTAGGGAAGGTGTGCATTGCAGTTCATGTAGCGAGGGGACAAGATGGTACCTCCATTGCCGAATATGTGAGTTGCACAAGGCGGAATCATTGTGGAATATAAAATGTAATTGGTATATTTTGGTGATTAAAACAAAGTACGAATCGGATTGTAATTTTCCGGTTTGACATTAAATAACATATAGTCAAGGTAAGAGTGTGAGAATCATTTAGAGTATGTATGAAGTTGGATCAGAATACATAGAATTTTTTTAGAAGTCCAATCGATTGCACTTCATTTTAGAACTGTTTGCATTCCCTGCACAAAAACTGTATTTGAGAAAAGTCTAACCGGTTGCACTTTCAAGTACAGCTAATCTCACTTACCTGAACCAAAAAGGAATGTTTTGTTTCTGCTAACCACTAATAGCTTTTTGAGTCTGAATTAGATGGGGTTTAGCATGAAATTGAGAAGATTTTCTAACCCTACTAGGCCTATCTAATTCTCTATATAAATTCATATACACACAAAATTTATCACGGCTTTTTCATTGAAGATTTCAAGACCCTAAAAAGAGCCTTTGTGTGAGACTTTGAGAGATTTTTTTTTTTTTTTCAAAGCACGCAACTATTAACTTGAATCATTTAGGTTGTTGTTCATCATCTGATCGAAGGTTGCTTGATTAAAGATTCTATTGCTACCGTTTGTTAAGCATGATTTCTTTCAACTTCAAAAATTCTGATTTTGAAAAAAATGATGAGAAGATCACACGTTGAACGGATCAAGAAACTTGTGAAGTATTGGTTGATCTACTAGTGATCCTTTTACCGAGATTAAGAGTAAGCATGAGATCGAGAGTTGTTGAATGGGGGAGTTGCAAAGCGAGGGATAGTCAACAATAGGTTTTTGGTAGAACGATAGGGTGTGAGCCTAAGACCAAGTCAATTGTATTTTGCTCCATACATAATAGATATTTTCATTCGAAATCGTGTGACAGTCTCTGATATTTTTCTAATTGTTGGATTTCACCAACTAGATTTCCTTGCTAAGAACTCGGTGTCTCTCTAAACTTACTTTACTTGCACTTTAAGTTATTGTTTTGTGGGTGTTTAATTTAATTTAATTTTTGTAAATTTAATTTAAACAAAAATCGGATAAAAGAACAAGTTGAACATATTCATCCCCCTTTCTGTTGCTTATCTATACTATATTCCATAGCCATTGTGCATTGTGCAACTTCAAATTGGTATTAGAGTCATCCTCTACACATTGAATTATTCCGTGTGGAATAGTTTTAAAATTGAAATTTGTTTCTATTTTCAAAAATTCGTTATGGATAGCACACTTAAGGAAGAAAAATCTATTCAATGTACTCATTTGTTTGGTGGAGACAACTATGCTTTTCTAATGACTCAAGGAAAATATGTTTGGGCTGTAATTGAAAAAGATGATAAAAACCTACAGTGATCACCATTGAAAAGGAAGAGTCATTATTGACTTAAATTGAAACTAATGTTGGGGAAGGAAACACTAAAGCCTTGTTTTCTATTTTTAAAGTTGTAATTGAAACTGAGTTGGCTAGAATTTCTCATTACTCCACAGCTAAGGAAAGTTGGGATATTTTTGAGCTCACTCATGTGGGTGCCAATGAAGTCAAATCCTCTAAAATTGAGATTATTGTGCTTCAATTTGAAAATGTTCAGATGGAAGAGAATGAGACTTTTTCTGAGTTTTACTTGAAACTCAACAATATTATGTTTGGCTTACGAAACCTAGGGAAGAAAGTGAAATATAAAATGATTAATAAGAAAATTCTTAGGTCTTTACTCAATAAGTTCAGAATCAGGGTTAAAACCTTGCAAGTTACTCGTGATATTGAAAAGTTGAAAGTTGACGAGATAGTCGGTCATGTCAAGAACTATGAGATGAAGTAGAATAGAAAATTCCAAAAACCTAAAGACTTAGCCCTAAAAGCTTCAAAGTCCGAGTCTTCCAAGTCAAGGTTCAGTATAATAACAAGTTTGATAAAGAGATTGTTTTCATCACTAAGAGGTTCAAAAATTTGATCAAATTTGAAAATATCAATGCAAATAAGAAGGGGGAAGAGTCGAAGTTTAGGAAAAGAGAGTTTTTGTCTAGGGGAAGAGACACACTATAAAACGAAAGAAGAAAAGTCTAGAGAAACTGAACTTACTTGTTGGACATGTGGTTATAGCAGTCATACATCAACAGTCTATCCAAGCCCTAAAAACAATTTTGTTGCTACAAATGAATTAATCAAAAGATAACAATAAGGGAAAAACAATGAAAATTTCAGTTTATGAGGATAATGATGCTTCTTTTTCTGACAATGATTCTTCTCATGCTAATGATAATTATTATGCTTATGTTGCTATTGTGAATAATGATACTGTTAAAAGTTCTTCTTTGTCTGATACGGATGACTCAGTTTCAAGCGATGAGGACATAGCAAAATCTGAAGATGAAGATTGCTATAAGGAAGCAAAAGAGAATTATGAAAAAGCCTTTAATGAACTTCTTGTAAAAAGAAGTTCAAAATAGAAAAGACTTCAACAAACAAGCTGAAAATTTGAAAGAAGTTGAAAGTCATAGAGATGTTTTGAACAGAAACAAAAGGAGATTCAAGAATGCAGAAAAAACATTAATAATCTCCAAGGAAAGTTAAAGTTCCTAAGGGGTGAAGTAAAACAAGTTAATTCCGCTAAAGTGTATTATTTTTGGATTAAGGTTTTTGAAATTGAATTGAAAAAGTCATAAGGGAATTTGATTGCATTTACTTCTGGACAGATTAAACTTGATGAGATGATTAATATTGACGAGGATGTGCATGATAAAACTAGCTTAGGATTTAAAGAGGTTTCGTCTAGTAATAAGGGTAAACTTGTGTTTGTGGAACCGAA